GGAAAATTCTGCCTCTGAACATTAAGTCTTGTGTGCAAGACTTTTTTCTGACGTGGCCCGCTTGCAGGCCCCCGCCTTTTCTTGGCAGAACGTCCTCTTCTAGTTAACTTTATTCCACTTGACCAACTACAATTCCCCCTTTTAGTTTTGCTTCGGGTTCATGACAGAGAAGATAGCACTGCATTGACTGTTCACTGCTGCGGCTTTATGGGATCTTCTGCAGACTAGTCCCAGACACACAGGCATCTGGCAACTCCTGTCGAATAGTTGTTCATTCTTGTTACTTCTTCATCTGGTTTCATAGGCCCACGATCATCAAAAGGTCCAGGCATCCAATCAGGGTCATTAGTATATATAGGTACAGTCACATCTGTCCAAGAAACCCCTCTCATTAACAGAGGATTTGGGATGTAGGCCCAATAAGTATAGTTCAGCCCTTTTACCTGGTTAGTGAGGACAGCCAGCATAGCCACAAATAATGTAGGGAAGTACAGGGCCTTCCATGGGCAGTCACAAGACGCTCCCCTTCCTGGCATAGGCGCTTCACCTGTCCCCATGTAGGTGGAGGGGTGTTTTGGGTGGGAGGCAATGGCAAGCGAATTGTTTGTCCTCCCTGGATGGTTAGCTGCGCAAACCGGTCTTCCAGTCCCGCTTCATCACACTTCCTCTTGCTCGCCCTGCCTCAATTTGATTCTTTTATCAGGACTCCAGAACTTCTTGGTTCCTGTGGAAACATAAGCATAACCTCGACCCCACCGATGCCCATGAGAAATGAGAATAAGTATCAATAGAATGGTGAACAAATTTAAGTTTGCCAAATTCTGGCACGTGAGTGATATCTATTTGCCAAAGGGCATTAACAGTTTTTCCTCGGGAATTAACTCCCATGGGTAAGCGAGCAGTGTGCAATGGCTGACAGTGAGGGCATGTTTGTAAAATATTTTTAGCCTGTCCCCAAGTGATATGACTTTTCTTTCAATGCCCTAGCATTGGAATGATACATATTATCCTCTCTTTGAGTGGAGGTTACTGTACCAACCAATTGATCAATGTTAGCATTCCCAGCAGATAAAGGTCCAGGTAGTAAAGAGTGAGCGTGAATGTGTGTTATATAGACAGGATCATGCCGGAGGCGCAAGAGCATTTGAAGCTGTAGAAATAGTTCATGCAAGTTAGACCCATCATCAAAGATAGTAGCCGTTTCAATGTGTTGAACAGTAAACTTCGTATATTGAGAGTCAGTGATAATGTTAAGAGACATAGAATCTTTATCTTGTAGTAACATAACAATTGCAGACAATTCTGCCTTTCGTACTGATTGGTAAGGAGATTGTACTACTTTATTTTCTTTAAAATTACTGTATCCAGCCATTCCTTGTTTGTTTGCATCAGTAAAATAAGTTTCTGCTCCAGATAGGGGAGTGGGAGAAATTATTTTTGGCAAAATCCATTGAGTCCTTTTCAAAAACTGAATTCTATTGTCTTTAGAATAAATATTATGATTTTTTCCCATAAAATTACTAAAGGCTCTCGGCCAATCATCTGATAATTGCCAATGGATATCTTGTTGTTGTTTACTAAAGGGTATTATTATTTCATCTGGATCTTGTCCACATAATTGTTGCAAACGGATTCTTGCCTTTTCTATTAAAATGCAAATTTTCTGTAAATACGTAATTTTTTACTGGATTTATGAGGTAAAAAATACCCATTCAATTATGTTAGTATCCTGCATAAGAATTCCCGTTGGAGAATGTGTGGTATGAATAATTAAAACTTTAAGATTCTGTAGCAATTGTATACGATCTAACTGTCCTGCCTGAATTTGTTCAGTTAATTGTAATTCAGCTTCTGCCTCAGGAGTCAATTGCCTAGGACTATTGAGATCTTAAGATCCTTCTAATGCTCGGAATAGATTAGGTAACTGATAGGTAGGGATGCCAATAGATGGTCGAAGCCAATTTATATCCCCTAACAGTTTCTGAAAATCATTTAAGGTGTTAAGACTATCCCATCTAATCTGAACTTTTTGAGGTTGAATAATGCTTGCTGAAATTTTCTTCTCTTTTTTTTTTATAAATAGCACATGTTTATTAAATCCTATTATGTATGAGGTATTGAAGGGTTATGTAGAAAGCAAAACCTAATCTGCTTGCCTCACATTTTTCTCTAGTACACAACTCAGTATATGAAATTTTCTGTCCTAGATATAACTAGAGCTCTGTTTGCTGAATTTTTTTTTAATATATT